CTTTTCGCTGCCTTGAAGCAAAAGCAAGCATTTAAGCCATGAACCTAATGTAATACATATACATATACATACTCACATACATGCACATAATTATTTCGACATCGCGTCACGTTGACTCGCTTGCAAAAACCGCAATTTTTCATTTTACTGGTGCATTTAATCCTGCGACATGCCACATAAAAAGTAGCAAACAAAACTCTTCGTTTTTTTTTTTTTTAGAAAAAGCTGAAATGGATTCAACGGCAAGTATGTATGTGTACCCACACTTTCTTATTTTGCATTTGGCTGCAGCATGGCTAGGTGACGACAAGTGCATTAGCGGAGAGAAAAATGCAAAATGTTGACGAAGCAAAAAACGAGTAAACAAGAAAGGTGGGAAAAACACCGGTAGCAGCGGGTTGTCAGTTTTAAGTAGACGCTGAGATGCTATGGATTTTAGGTGCTGTGAAATGTGGCAAGATGGCACGTCAACTTAACGGCAAAGCAATTATTCAAGCAAAAATTAAGTGTTGAGCAATTTGCTGAGGAGTAAAGTTAAATGAGTGCGAGGCAAGTGAAGTAAAGTGAAGAAAGATGCTGCTTTTGAGGCAATTAAAGTGCTAGTTAATACGTTGAAATACGAAGTCTATAATTTTAAATCGTTAAAAAAAATAAAAATGTTTAATTCAAGCAAAATAAAATAAAAATATTTAAGGGGTAAAGACGAAAGCGAGGATATCTTACGCTAAAACTAGTCGCTTTGATTAGAAGAAGAATTTGCAATATAAGATGAATGCTAAATTGAAGGTACCATACTTTGTGAAGCCACATCAAGAGACAAGCGAACACTTTTGTGTGAGCGTGAGCGTCTTGGCATTAAAAATATTTAACGTTTTTAAAATAAGTACGTTATAGAACTTTTTCCAATTGATAACCGAAACCTTGACATTTTTGATACTCGTCTGTCTATACATAGGACAAAACGTTCCTCATCGAAAAACAAACCAAGTTGTGGTATCAATATTGTAGTATTGTCAGTATTGTCATTGGCACAGCAATAATTCTACTTTGAGCTCATTAGAAGCTTTTGTAGTCTATTATCCTTCACACGGATAATCTAGTACGAAAGAGATCACCTCGACAGATTGATGTATCGAACCTTATTGATATCTTCGTGAGTGACAAGTAAGCTGATTTTCCACGAAATATTAAAAAACGTGGGAAAATGTAGAAAATTAACATTTCATTAAATTCAAGTCGTTTTCATTTTATAAATAAAAAGAGGAAAACAAAACAAATTAGTTAAAGTAACTTAAATAAAATAATTTTTACTTTTTATATTAAACAAAAAAGTTGAATTTCTCCTATTTTTTAACTCTTTAAAAAAAAAAAAAAAAAAACACATTCTAGCGAAGAATTAAAAATAAATTGTTTTTTTTTTTTTGGTAAATAAATAATTGTGAAAAATTTAAAGTTTCGTGGATTTCCTAATTTTCCAAAATCCCAAATCCAATCAAATCTCGTTAAATATATTTTTTTTATTTGTTCGAATAATCACACCACGAATAAAGTTGATTTGGGATGTCACTCGTCAGGAAAGTAAAAAATAAAACTTATTTGCGATTTAATTCGTCGGACAAATAGAAAAATTAAATTTATTTGTGATTTGATTTGGCGAGTAAATCAATTTTTTTTCGTGATTTTCCAACTTAAACGTAACTAATGTAACGCAAACACGATTTTCTAAAAAATAAAATTTATTTTTTTATATGGTTGATGAATTGAATCACATATAAATTTTATTTTTTATTTGTCCGATGAATCAATTCACAAATAAATTTTCTTTTTATATTTGGTCAAAGAATCAAATCACAAATAAATTGTTATTTATTATTTGGTAGACGAATCCATTCACAAATAAAACTTATTTTTATCAAATCAGAAATCAAATAAATTTCTTAATTACTCAAGCTATAATGCAATCTAAAATCTAAATTTCGGCACTACAGCTGTATTTCGCCTATTGTCTGTGAATGAATTAAATGCGGAGAAAATATAAGTAACTATTTAAATTCAGAAAAAACTACCTTTTCCCTGCCGCATAACGAATATGATAAAATTTTGCATTCATTTGCATACATCTTACGAAATGTACATAAAATCTGCAAACATTTGCAAAACACCAAATTACTTACATTTGTTATAAGGCCACGTGAAATGAATTCTAAACATTCATTGTACCCCCCTTTCGTCGCCATCCACCCATTTTTTATGATTTTCAAGCAATACTTTTCACCTACTTTCAGCGTATCAGCCACAAGGCAGCTTTCGTATCTTCCTTCTTCTCAAAAAGCTGAAGCTCAACACCTTGGTTGCCTACCTGCATTTCGCCTTTCATCTTCGTAGTTCTTCTGCTGTTATCCTTAGGACTTTATCCTTATGTAAATGATTATAGATGATCTTAAAACGTTTACCTTCATTTCGAAAATGAATACAACAATACTGCATTGAAGATGTGTCGCTTTGCAAGCGTTGGACTGTGAGATAGCTAATATTCGTTGGCTGCATGCAAGCGGATGGGTGGCGGATGATTGTGAATGCTTAAAAACTCTCCTGGGCGTGCTTTACACTTATACCCTTGCATACTTACCGCTATGCAGATGTTTTTCCTTCGCTTCCCAGCAAAAAATCGGTAATCGCTTTTAGTGGTAACGTGTTCTAGAAGGCATAGCGTTGTAATGCCTTCGAATTTTTTCGCTTCTTTTAGGCATTGTCGGTAATGCAAAGTAGAATGTCCTTCAATATTTTATTTATTTCGCTTCTTTGTTTCATTTTGGGGAATGCAAAGTAGAATGTCCTATAATATTTCTTTCTTAATTCGCTTCTTTGCTTCATTTCAGGGAATGCAAAGTAGAATGTCGTACAATATTTTTTTTTAGTCCGCTTCTTTGCTTCATTTCGGGGAATGCAAAATAGAATGCTGCATCCTAGTCAGCTGAAAAATAGAATGAATATCCAAAAAATCTTTTTCTACCGTTAGTTTCTGTGGAAATTTGTCTCGCATAAAAATCATGTTTTGCTTTGTTCAATTTGCAGCGAAGTTGAAGTCAGTCAATGAAGTGAAGTATATGAGTGACGAAGTACAATTTTAAGCTTAATTAAATATGCATGTATGTACATACCGATTTTTAAGTAAAATCTAAATACCGAAATACATACAAATGTTTGTATAAAAACTGATTTATAAAAATTTTAATTAATTTTAATCTTTTAAGACATTTTCTGATTTAATATAAATAAGTATGTACTCATCTGGGCATTCTACATTAGTTTCTCTGTAAGGCATTCTTTGTTCGCTTCTCTGGATTCTGTTTATCCATGCGTTCTCGCTTCGTTTGAAGGTAATGCTGCGGGTAAGGGCTTACCGCCAATGACATGCCCATGTTAAAATAAGGCCTTCCTGAAGCGAAAGCGTAAGCGATTCCCATCGCCTAGCTCGTTTACACTTTCGCTTCTGTGGTAATCGTGTTTTTTGCTGGGTTCGTTTACTATTTTGTCTCGATTTCGAGAGTTTTTTTTCTTGCATTATTTTATTCGTTTTGTTACTTTTGCCGCAAGATGACTCCTATGAATTCTTTAAAGTTAGATTTTTTATAAGTTTAAGGTCCGTTTGTCGCCTTGGGAGTTGACAAGTTTGAAAGCATTGCTGCGTTCAATTTTGATTTACGTCAAAGGTAATCTAAATTGGGATTGTGGGCATTAAAATGTGGGTGGCATTTGGAAATATTAACCTATTTACCTATAAGCAGTACGAGTGCTATGTGGTAAGAGGGTATTGTCCCGTTTCTGTCTATATTTTTGTTTTGGAAAACTAATGTTACCACTTATAACAAAAGTTTAAGCGTCGCACTATTTGAAAATAAAACAAAAACTTAATGTCAGTGCTTACTCCTATTAGTAGAACCAGATATACTAAGTAAAAAGTGCTTTTATTATATCCTAGTGGAAGAAAATAGGCATTTTTCTTACCTTCTTTGGAATGATTCTATTGCGGATACGAGGTTAACACAGAAACGGGACGTATTGAGCTTTGTACCACGATTATGTTTATTAGGAAAAATGGAAAAAGCAACAAAGTCTAAGCGGTGGAAGTTATAGCAGTTATTTCGGGTATTGTGCGTTTTTTTTTTTTAATTGGCTTCCGTGCCTAATCGCCGCCAAACTCTCAACATGCTGTATGATTTGATCCAGTTGGGAATCGAAATTTTAAATAATGAGATGGGCATTTTTTCCATCGGAATACTGCAATTTTATTAAATCATTTAAAAAACTAATAACATTAAAATAGTTTTTATATCACTTATGAAACAATAAACAGTAAGATGGCTTGAGTAAAAATTAACAAAACAAATATGTAATTATATAAGAACGTATTCATACTATTTACGTATATAAGGGTGGTCCAAAAATGCATGTGAAAAAGTAAAGTCGGAATTTTTATGCTCTCATCCCTAGGATTGTTCTATACCGAAAAAATATGAAATAAAAAATATGTAGAAGTCGCTCAAAGCGCCCAAAGTTTTCCATTTATTTTATAAGGGGAAAAAATAACTTTTCGTAGAATGGTATAGAATAGTTAAAAATTCATATTTTTCTACCAGAAAACTCTGTTTATCAGCAGGAGATTTACAATAATAAAACCCAAAAAAAAAAAAAAACCAAAAAATGCAATGGGGCGACCAATAAAAATTCGTTAGTATTAAAAAATGGTTAAATAAAAAAAAGTTTTAGGTCAAAAATATTTAGCGTGTTTTTCTGCTAAGTGGCTAAAGAAAACTCGGAACTTAATCATTAGGGCCCGGATTTTATGCACTAAAAAGCGATATTATGCGCATATTATGTACACTAAAAAATCGAAAATATTATTATTAGTATAATTTTAAAGAGAAACCTTTAAGCTTTTGACTTAAAAGTCTTCAAAGTTTTGTTTTACTAAATTTCCTCTTTTCTTCTCTTTGCAGCTTATGCGCGTTCTACGTAACTTCAATATCACCAAAATTAGCGATTTGGAATTGATTTCGAATAGCACAGATCGCTTGGATATTACATTTCATTTTTTCGGTGTAAAAGGCGATTCAAATCGCATACGTGAGGCCATTACTCGTATGGTAGAACGTGGCCGCATTGGAAATATTACACTCGTTTCGAATTACCATTTATTCGATGAAAACCCACCGTTGAATTTATTGGTGAGTATTAGAGTAATTAGTCAACAAATTTATGTGTTACTGGCACCTTCTGTAATTTAATGCTGTAAAAATTAAAGCCACGGTGGGGGACGGGGGATATTAAGGTGCTGCAGAGTGGGCGTAAACCCCTACACGTATTTTTCTGGAATTAAATAAATTAGTTCCCTGGCCACTTTTTCTTCCAGCCATTCAACATTTTTTCTAGCCACTATCTTCATGGACTCATTTTGTACTTTACCTTTTTTGTTAATATTAAAGGATGCTATGCCTATTGTCTAGATAGCTATGGTATTGACACCTCTTATTTATAACTGATATCGCGTGCGTGAGCAGGCAGCAAATAAAGGTATCCCAAAGAACATGGACGCTCCGGATGGATCCCAGCTAAATTTATTGAGGATTAAGACTGTTATAGTGTATTGTTAGTATATAATTCTAATGGATGGACCTTATTATACTTCTAATTAGTTATCCGAATGATAAAATTGTTTAAAGTGAAGTAGCATTGAAAATAACTACATAACTAAGAAAGCAGCAAGTATCTGTAAATGTATTGAAAAGCGCATATGAGCAAATCTTACGAGCGGTTACTTATCTCAGACAATGCATTATCTTCGGCTTTGCATATAGAACAAGATTCCATAGCTAAATTGTATTTAAATGAAAACGTAAAAAAGATTTACTAAAAAAAGTAAAAATAGCTACTCGTGCTCATATACTCGTAGCTGGTATGCAACGTATATGCCCCGTAGTATCATACACAGTGAACTAATTTTGGTTTCGCAAACCATGTTACATATAATCAATAATCAATAATTAATAATCAATAATTATTAATCAATAATCAATAATCAATGTGCTTTTTCTTTTTGCATTTGATGACACACTAGTTTTATTTCTCTAAATTTATTCGCTTTGGCGGGAAGAACATGTTCACCGTTTAATGTTAAAACTTTGAAGTAACTTAAACTTTTAAAATGAAAAAAAAAAAATTGTTAAATATCAAAAATTACAATATAGCTTCGACAGATATTCCGCATGCTGCCATTTTTTTTTTAATTGGTGGCACGCTCTTGAAATTTCACAGGTATGCTGTATTCGATGCCAGCTTTCATTGCCTCTAAGATTAACATTCTACTTGAAAACTTCCCACAGTTATTAAAAAAAAAAAAGAATGCTTCAGCGGTTTTTTTTTTTTTTGTTTTTGGCGAGAGAAGGTACTGACAAAAAACAACTCATGAGATTTGCTGATATTCCTATATTTTTTCATACGGAGTGGATTAAATCATTCATATCGCAAGCTACTAAAACACTGCATACATTCAGGCGTTTGATTCATTTAATTGCCAACGAAAAGAGAAAAAAGTAACACTCACTCTAATGGGTGTATTGCATTGTAGATTAAATCGCAATTAATTCCACTCTTTTTGAAAATTAAAAAAAAATAAATAAATTTGCCATTCAAAATGTTTTTAAATGTACTTATGTGTGGTTTAACACATCACAGCCATCTATCATTGTGTCAGATGATTCATAAGTGTTAATTAATTTTTCCATTTAAAGCATATTCTGCTATTTAAAACGATACTGGAGCTAAATAAAAAAAAGCACTGAAAGCGATAAAAAATCAATTAACACTTTGCACTCACTCTCACTACTTACCAAAAGAGAAAATGTTTTAATTTGCAACACACATAGCGGGGTGTAAAGATCATCTGTGTAATTACACACATGTACACCCCGCGACAAAAGATAGCACATCAACATTTTTACCAGTTTTGACTACACTTCGTTTGCTTTTTTTAAGGTTCACTATTTTTATATAAAAGTATAGTTTGTGGAATTTTTATAATTTTTGTACAAAGCCAGAAATTTAGATTTATATGGTACTAGATCGCTCTTACCCGCTTCGCTGAGTGTATGAAATTTCTACGTGCTACATTAGATGCCATTTATTTTAATTAAGCTCAACATACTTAAAATATGCGAAAATCAGGAGATTTAAAATTTTTTTAAATATCTTCAAAATATTTTCATACTAAACCTATCTTAAACCTCTCTCTTGTGATACTTTTTCATACTTATGCACATGTAGTTTAGAAATGAAGCCTTTTAAAAATCATTTTGGTTGACACCCACATTGTACTAATTATTTGAAATGATTGAAAATTTTGAATTTTACTTTTTAAACCGTTAATTCCTATAATTCAAGTTGAATTTGAATTTTCAAATATGTGGAGTCCCTGATATACATATGTTGCTTAGAAATAAAGCCTTTTCAAGACTGTTCCGATTAAAACTTAGATTGTAATAAGTCACTAAACTTAAAATATAATTGTATTCGAATTTAGATTTAAAACCCTCAGAAAACTCTACATGCTCAAGATGAACTTTTCTAATTTAAACTCGACTTTTAAAACAGGTGGCAACACTCTTCGAAATTTTTTTCTATTAAAACCCTAATAAATCCCTCTTGTCTGACGTCCATATTGTGATGCATGTTCCAATTATCAAATCATATCAAATAATTTGATTTTTGAGCAGGTGGCAACCCTCTTACATGTAGTTTAGAACTAAAACCCTTATAAAAACCTTTTCGGTTGATAGCCATATTTTAATAATTCATTTGAATTAAATTAATTTAATTTTTAAACGGGTGGCAACGTTTGTAAAACACCTCAGTAATATTTGAAATGTTCAATCTTAAGGTTTCTTAGCAATCTTTCATTTAGCACCCATATATATATATTAATTTTTCAGATAGCTTGCTAATTATTAATTTAAATGTGGCTTTACCGCAGGTGCCAACCCTTTCCAAGATACTTTCAAACTACAACTTTTTAAGCCTCTTGTCATCCATTCTTTAATATAATTTTTCCCTTAAGTCAAGTCGGATTTGATTTTTTAAACAGGTGGCAGCCCTCTTCCATGGGTATGGAATTGATTTTATATACATATATGTATCTATAGCAAGCTCCTATACTCTATCAAAAAATATTTTTTTGAGATACGATATGCGGTATGATAATTCCGTTTTATGGGAGGTGCCACGCCCCTCGTATAATCGAGATTAAATCTATCCTATATTTTAAGTTGGGCTGAATGGCACCAATCGGTCACTTTCGGATTTATAATAATATTAGTAGGGATTTGTTAGATAAATACCTCTATATAAAGATAATGAACCTTAAAAAATCAAAAGAAAAGTAGTCAAACTGGCAAAAATATTGATGTGCTATCTTTTGTCGCGGGGTGTATGCAGATATTTTTATATCTACGTACATATGTTATTTGCGTACAGGCCACCAACGTGTCAAGCATTCAATATTCATGCACTCGTTTACTTTACGCGCATTTTAACAACTGTCACTCAATACTTTTAATTAAAAATACTCATATGGCTGTCACTTACCTGAGTAGGAAAATAAACGATAATGAAAATGATAATGTAAATAAAAAGATGCAAAAATAATGCGCATAAAAATACGAAATATTTATGAGACTATGCACTGTGGGAAAAGTGCAGATTTTTTAGACTAAAATAAAAATTGTGTTCTATTTTGCATGACCCCCCAACCCAATATTTACGTAAAGGCTTTTAATTTAGGCTAGATCTTCCGTGGGTTTTTTTTTACCATATTATATTCCAATGTGTTAGGGGTGTTATGCCACCTAGGTGAGCGAGTCTGCGGTTAGCGAAAGCAACACATCTACAAAGGATGTGGGGTTTACTCGTCCAGTTCGAGGAAACGACAAACGCAGGGTAGAATGTCCCGTGTGAAGTATCCAGTGACAGGTTGAATGTCCTCCGTTCCTAGATGTATGCACTTTTTTGAAGCTTCTTGTGGTAGACAGATAAACCGCTTAACTTGTGTTTGTCCCGGATATGCACTCCTGTGGCCTGTGGAATTTTTTGTCCACCCACTTGTTTATGACCTCCCTTGAGTGTGCTTTGGTGAGCCCACAAAAGGGTTCCGGGCCATGGCGTATTGTGGTAGCACGTGTTTAGCTACGCGGCCTAGCTGTTCATTGCCATCGTGGCCCTCATGCCCTGGCACCAAGCCGAGTAATATTGTGTTCTTGATTCCAAGAGCATTTGGAGTGCTGAAGCAGTCATTTACTAGTTTTGATGCTATTGTGTGGGACTTCAGCGCTAGCAAGGCTGCCTGACTGTACCACATAATGCAGATGTTTTTAGAAGATGTGCTACTCCTTATATGGAAAAGGGTGGGATAACTGCCGACTGATATCGATCTCTTAACATTCGGTCCAAACATACCGGCTACAGTTTTTCCATTTTCAAGTTTTGAGCCATCAGTGTGCCAAACTTCATCTTCTAGATTGGTTTAAGGGCTTCCTGTACTCCCGATTCAAATATTATATTTTGTTTTTAAATTAGCTAGTTTTACAGATTGTACATCAAATTATATAAAACGAAAAATCATGAGCTCACTTATTGACAACCTTGTGCAACGACACTTAACAGCTTCACACTTGCGGAGGCAAAAACAGTAATAAACTAACCCTCATATAGATGCATACATATGTATGTGTGTATTTATATTAAGCTTCAAAATATACTATCGATAGGTTGCGAATAAATTTAGGTAGTATCTACCGCAGCGGCATGTCGTACATGCAAATGATTATTATTCATGAATCTATAAACAATATACTCATTAAAATTTACCATTCAGCATATTTTACTATATATAGCCTTTTTTTGCCGTATTTGTTTCCATAAATGAGTATCATTCGTTAGCAATTTTTACATGCCTGATCGATCAATCAACCATATTTAAGCATATGCTTTTTTATTTAACGTATGTACATACGATACATACATATCTCTGACCAACAATCTGCAAGGACACTCGCTTATAAACAGTTAATGAATACATACCATATTGCTACTGCAAAGCCACATACATATGTATTAACGTAAGCACTTGGTTACACACTCAATTGTGAAGCAGCATGCTTGGTCTGCAGCATAATAGCATTGAGTAATCATTGGCAAATAATTGCGGCTTGCGGTAACAGCAGATGAGCGCAATTTCTATTTATTTTTTATTTATTCATTTTTAAGGCATCCGCGGTAGTATTTTAAACTGAAAGCGCATCTATTGTTCTTATTCTAGGTATGCTATTTTTATGAAAGAGCAATGCATGGCTTGTTATGTGTTGTTATAATGATTGTGCTCGAGGCTATCATACATGCATAAGTCATATACTGGTGGAGGTCATGCATATAATTTATATGTAGAGCAGTCTTGCATAACAAAGAATATCTACTTATAGCGCACAGTGGTTCAAAATTAGTATTTAGTATTCATTATTCACTGGAGCATTCATTTTTCAATTAATTATTAAAAAACAACTCGACCTCTTTGCCACTTGCAGCCTGCACTTTATTATTTTTTCTAAAAACTAATTTAATAATTAATTTAATTTTGTTAATTTTTTTTCTAAAATTTCAAAGTTTTCTTATGAAATTTTTTTTTCGTTTTTTCTTCAAAATTACGACTTTGCACTAAAAAATTTAATAGACACAAATAAAAATTCAAAAATCGGGCTCTAGTGGTCTCTTGCTAGTTTTATAAGCTTTTATTAAAAAAAAATATATATATTTATATATCAAATTGGTTGAAAAATGAAGGCTCCAGTGAATTATGAACACCAAGTGGTAGTTTTGAACCACTGCACAGTGGCCAATTTCGTCTTAATTTTGGTTGCTGGTTTTAAATTTCACCACATAATTTCTAAATTCAAAATGGCGGATCCCTAATAACTGCTGTGTACGCTTAAAATAATCAGATTTTTAGCAAAACTAAGGTAGTTAAGTAAAATAGGTCATGTTTTCGGCTTTTTTGTTATACAATGTGATGTAGCGGTTGGCAATATAATCTATAATTCCGCAGGGCCTGGGTTCAAGCCCAGTTTCCGACCAACATCAAAAAATAAGAAACAAACAAGTTTTTTGTAATAAAGTCGCCCTTTGGCAGGCAATGGCAAACCCCCGAGTGTATTCAGAAACGAAGAACAGCTTCTCATAAAAATAAAATCCCCGTTCGGATTCGGCGTAAAACTGTTGGTCCCTCCCCTTTGTGCGCCAACATCAAGGCGCACGCCACAAATCGGAACAACAGAAGCTCGGACAAACACTAACGAGGTCTTAATGTTTGTTTCTAAAAATCTTGATGTTCAAATTTACACGACATACATATTTGTTGGTACAGGAATATATTTTTAAGATAACAATTTTATACACCGTCAGACTCGCAGTCATCTGAAGTATCCAAGCTCGTATCTATATTTACTGATGGCAATTCCGCATCCGCATTTACAACAGTTGATAATAATTCAATGGCATCTGACGACAGTTTATGATTTAGTTTTGGTGGGTTTAAACGTAAACTTGAAATGACGGAGGCCGAGGATACAAGCAGCCGATATATTTTAATATCCTTATTCCTTGACTCTTGGGTTTCTTCGGAAAGTTACCCAATTGGCAGGGGTGCCCATTCAATAATGAGAGGTCCATGGATGAGCACTCTAATATATAGTACTACTAGTAAAACATCCAATCTTTAAAACATCAAAATCTTCACAGAATTATTTTTTTTACATAATTTAAATCTTTTAAACATAAAAAAATTAAGAATCGCGTATTAAAACAGATGTCCAAACTACAGTTGCGGCTTGTGGCAGGTGGTTTTAACCAAGGTGGATGGGAAAAACTTCAATATATATGAAAAAGAAAATTAGACCGCCCATATCGACCACTCTCGTAACTATTTTCCTAGTCCATTATAATGAGTAAACAAAAAAAAAATCAATCCGTGAATATCTATGTCTTACGTCAGTTTTTAGATGGCGTGACAATGAAAAAACATGTTTTACATACTCTAGATTACAATGTCCATGAGCGGATGCTTGAAAACTGTTATTTTTTTAAAGATAATACCACGACTTTAACAACGACGAAAACTCTAATTTACGAAAAGTTTAGAGCGAATTGCTAGCAACAGTCACTTCGATCTCCTGTAACACTAAATGCCTTAAGAGAATCGACTTGTTGTCTCATAACGATACGCAGTAGAGCCCTCCTAACAATATAAGGTTATGCATACGAATGCACCAAAAATTGGCCACTGTGCACTGTGGAGCGATTTGTAGAGAATGGAAATGCTCAGAGCCAAGTAAATATTTTGTAACGTAGAGGTTGCAATAAATCCGCTGTAAGGCACGTTTGGGATGAGAGTGTCACGGGGATTTGAAGAATACCCTCCGGAACATCGACCGCCTCAATAGTGACGTTGTAACGCTATGTAACTCAAAAAGCTTTCTTTTTAACGCTGCTACTTCCGTTATTATTAGTCACGTGGGTCCTGAAAAATAGTCATCGCCGCTGTAAAAGCTCGACCAGACCAAGCGCTTCTCATTTATCAGTATCCAAACTTGTGCGTTTCAAAAAGAAAGAAAGCATAAATTCGTTAGATAAAGAATTTTTGTTAACAAGGACGAATAGGTATTGAAAATTGGGTTTTAATTATTTCTATTTTTTTATAGGTAATCAAGTTAGAAGGGCAAAATTTGATGGTTTGGTCATGTGTATATTAGTCCCTAAGATATAATTTTTTAAAAAGAAATATTCCATATTTTCAGGGATATTCAAGGTTAAAATTTTAAAAGGACATTTTCACCAAAAAATTTAATATTTTTTTATTCTACATAATTTTCTCTTTTTTTTTTGTACTCATATTACTATTCTCGATCGACAATATTTTTTATGAATCATTTATTTGAAATTTCAAAGGGCTTTAGAAAAAATCGTGCCGTCAAAGAGAAAAACTAAAAATGCATTTTCACTATTTTTGGCCACTAATTTCGCGAATATGTTGACTTTTTTTGTGTGAAATTCACTGTTGCACGGCGTTATAGCGAAGATCTTCAGAACTCGTTTGTTGACTTCAATTAAAACCTCTCCAGACATTGATGAGACAGCCGTTAAATAAAAAATTTCTCTACACTTCAGTTTGGATAAAAATTCTTCAGTTTAGTCTCGTTGTAGACGTAGTTCTCTTCCCAAGTGAAATGACGAGATAGAGCTCAACCAGTCACCGACGGAGCGCTCTACCGTACTTGCCGTTCGTACCAACATATAAAATTGCTCTTGATAGAGTAGAGAGAGAGAGAGAGTAGATACGGCAACGGCACCGTCGTGTGGTGGTGAGTTTTCGTTGACACGAGCATCCCATAAAATAGGATACGTCAGCTGATATGGTCTAGGATTCTACGTCGGTGGCTAGTTGAGCTCGAATTCGAGGAAATTTAACAGTAAAGCTACATACATACATGCAGCCAGTTCGAAAACGCCCTATCTTAGATAACTTCTCAAGAACGTCCTATTTCGAAATTTGGCCTTCAGCCATTTCAGAATTCTGGTTAAAAACGCCCTATCTCAACATATTTTCAATATATTTTCAGTTGATGTAGGGCGTTTTTGAACCAAATTCTGAGATAGGACGTTCTTGAAAAGTTGTCTAAGATAGGTTTGCTGAGGTAGGTCGTTTTCGAACCGGCTGCGAATATCATAGGTCGATCTTCCACTCAGCCTTAGATATTTAATTATTTTGCTTTTTTAGTTATGGTCTGTATTATAGACTATATTACTTAACAATATTTACTCACCTATTTAAGTATTTAGATCAACTATCCCATATAAAAGACTATAAATGAACTTTCATTGTGAAACCAACGCTCGCTATTTTCACCCTTTTCGCTTTCCCTTTACAGGAATTGACAATTAATCAAAAATCAGCGATACGTGAAGACAGTGAATTTATAATTTCATGCACCGCCCAAGGATCATCGCGTATGCAATTTCAATGGTACAAGGATGGTGCACGTGTCAATACGTCCAAGGCTACAAGGTAAGCTCGAACATACATTAATGCATACATACATAACCATACAATCATTTATTGCTGCAGTATCATTGTGATGAGTACTTTTATTTGCCATTGTATAAATGTGCGAAATATTTATTTAAACGTAAATGACAAGTGCGAAAGTGCTGTGAGCAAAACGTGAAACCATAATTTTTTTTTTTCATTTATTATCGCCGCTGATGAACTGTTGTTGAGTCAGCTGAAAATTATCGCACATGTGCGGAAAACGTGAAAATTACAAGCGTGACATTTACATGCGAGTAAATAAGTAGATATGTCCCTATTCACACGTGTGTGTGTGTGTGTGTTGTATAATATAGCCTTTGTGAATGTGTGAGCTTGAGTGTAAAAATTCACGTAATTTTAATCAGTTTACCGGAAGCGATATATGTGTATGTATGTGCATTCGCGATAAAAGGATAATATCGATAGCATGAAATTGAATTATATAAGTAAAATTAGCATTTGTGGGTATTTTCGGTTATTTGGGTGTCTGCATATATTTTTACATTATTAAATGTCACTTTGTAAAAGCTCTAAATATTTGCTGCGTTAAATAACAGGGAGCTTCAAATCGATTGATTGTTCATCAGTTAAAACCGAAAGCCTAACAGCCATCGCTAAATTTGAGCTCTAAGTGTTGCCTCTTCTGACGCCAATGAGTGGCAGAGAGCCCTATATAAAAAAAAAAAAAACGCGTAAAATTTTGGACCCTTTCCCGTTTTTGTTCTCTATTCCTATTTCTCTGTTTTGTCATATTTCTGTCTTCAGCACCGAACTTAAATACGAAACGCCCTGTCAAAAACCAAAAAATTCGATTTTCTTGGCACTAGCTCTGCGTTATTATGGGGTCCTTCATACAAATTTGGCAGGCTTGACGATTTTTAAAAAACTGTTCAATAGTTTTAAAGTTCCTGTAAAGGAAACAAAAAACAGAACTTGAAAAGCTACTCAGAAAAGATTTAATTTTAATTATTTTTAAACATTAAACTATTTCGACTTTCTTAAACAATTCTTTTTTTTGGTGTTATTTTGCAGAACTGCTTTTTTCCTTATCATTATTTCTAGAACTATTAAAAAGAACTATTCAAAAGTTTATATTTTTCGACTTTTTCGAAAAAAATTTTTTTCCAGTTAATTTTACAAAACTTGTTTTTTTTCCTTTTCAGAAACTCTAGCACTATTAAAAACTACCTTCAACAGTCTTAATTTTTAGTTTTTTCAAAAAATCAACTTTTTCCATTTTTTTTTTTTAAATAAAAAAAGTTTTTGTTTTTCGGTGTAATTTTGAAGAAGTTTCTTTTTCCTCTTTAGCAACTCTAGAACTATTGGAAAGTTACTCAGAATAGTTTTAATTTTTATGTTTTACAAAAATTTGCAGAAATTTAGAAACTTAAAAAAATTTGCATAACTTTTTTTGCTCTGGGAATCTTTGGAATGAGAGGTATCTGGTGAATACTGTGAATTTAACTATACCCTAGTGGCAGAAATAGTGGGAATGCCTTTTTTCCTGGTTTTAGCTACATTTTGTTTTTTGTTTTTTGATGTTTGATATTTGTTTATAAAAGCTGAATATTTAATAAACTGCATGTCGTCGGTGACACTGCAAAACATTGCATGTCAGTTATTGCCCTTCTCCTCAATTTTTTTATCCCCAACCGTCGGTGTACCAGGGATTTTACTTTCGACATGGAGTCCAAAGCCCGCCACTTTTTTGTAAAATCTTTTGGATGCTTTTTACTGACGATAGATAAGTATTTGTAATGTAATTAAAGCACTCTCAAAGGTGCCGCTAATTTAACAAAAATATTTCTACCTTAAATACAGTTCAATAAGTTGCAATTAATCCCGTGGCCGAGGGCAAGGCCAAGCCCTGGAACCTTTTTTTCATTGAACTATATGTGTATGTATTCTCCTACCCCAATACACATTGTATGTTAAAAAAAAAAAAATCAAATTGCATTTTTTATTATCAAATAACTACATTTTCTGCTTCTAGTCACTGTACTTTCCTTAAGTAAAGTGCACTTTAGATCATAGTTGTTCTCTCATATTATGAATAATATTGCTGGATAGACAAAACTCTCATGCTGAATGAATTTGAACATGATTTTGAATTTGAAATTAATATGTATGTTTGGAACAGGAAATGCCTACATATATTTCTATTGTTTATTGCTCAGCACTGTCGGCCAAAAAAGCAATGGCACACATTGACAATCAGTCAAAATAGCAAATGCACTCAAACGCATTTATTATACAACTACAATACGTGAGTAATATACTAGTACTTACTAGCATATGTTTGTATGTACACATGTGCATAAATGTTGCATAATAACTAGTTCAACGTGCATTGGAAGACAAAATTCACATTTCCATATGCAATCATGTTTATATTAACATTGCTATAAATACATATGTATATGTACATATGCATATGCAGTTATGTTATGAGCTCTATGACAAACATGGAATTTTTGTGCAGACAATGGCTTACATAAATAATAGTAATGGCATTAGTTTGCTTTTGAAATATCGATCTCACATAGTAGGCAAATAATATGGCCAACTTACTATGTAATCTTGCTATAATCCAATAGAAAAGAGAGACTACATATTTTGTTTGGAAAGCCGATAGAGAATTAACCTCCAATGCGTTGTTTACTAAGCCGGTTTCTTCCAGCTTATTTATGTACTTATGTATTTACGTATTCACAAACATAAAAGATAGAAAATTTGTACAACTCCACTCAGCAAGGATTGTTTTTTTTTGAAATTGTATTCCATAAGCGCTTTTTTTTATTTGTCGTTTGAGTTAATGAAAACATATCAATCTTCTTCATGCGTGGGTTAGGAATTGCTTTTTCGTAATAAGTAAGAGAAAGAAACAAAGAACTCAAGGTGTCAAGCATCTGATTTTACATACTTTCCTTACAGGGCAATTCTGGCAACTGTCTTCCAACTGACCACAGTCTTTCGTAAGACAATTGTCAATTCTGGCAACTAACCAAAAGGTCTTAGCGTTGTGCTGTTCGCCTCTAAGCAATACATTTTTCAAAAATTAAATTAAATTAAAAAAATATATTTTTCTTTTTAAAACTATAAAATCTATAAATTGAATTAGAAAAAATCAAAATAGATGAGAAAAGTACTTAATAATTAAAAAAAGTTCCTTTTAATATTTTCTGTTTTAAAACAAAATCTAAAAAATAAAATTAAATTACATTAAAAAAGAAAAACAAATTAAATTAAAAAAATATATAAATAAAATAAGTTTTCAAAAATTAAGTGAATTTTTTTAAACAATAGTCTAAGAATTGAAAGAAAATTTATGTAAAATAAGCAGCAAACTCTTTTAAAATGGATTAAAGTAAAATAGGTTCCTAAAAATTAAATTAAATTTAAAAAAGTCTTTTTTTTTTTAAATAACATCTATTAAAAAAAAAATTAAATCAAGAAAGGAAAAAACTGAATTGAAAAGGAAAAAAATACAGAAAATCAGTTTCTAAAAGTTAAAACAAATTAATATTTTTTCTTTTTAAAACAATACAATCAAAAAATTACTTAATTAAGAAAGAAAAAGTGTATATTAAAAAATTAAAAAATGTTCGCTGCCCGAGGACTCGATGACGAATCTCTCGAATGGCACGCCTGTGCTTTGTTAACTCGGCAATTGCTACTGTGGAAGCCACGCGAACTTAATAATATACAAGATAGATTTTCACCACGAGCGGGGGATGAGAGAGCTTTTTATTACAACGCCTTTATCAACTTGCAATGTTGTGTGTCCAGACCACCATTTATACTATAAATATAGCAAAGGTATTTATGGCAAAGTCTAGATATCAACCTAGTCTAGATACCAACCTAGTTGTAAATATCATATCACCGACATCTCCGTTTTCTCAAGTAACCTGTAACTTTAAAGCTCACTTTATATTTAAAGGTTACATTAAAATTTATGATTGTGCCTCAAGTAAAGCATTTTATTATTCGTTTTAAAGTGGTTTACAACAAAGAAAGATACATACGTCATAAACCGATAATAGAAATGCTTAACTTTAGAAATAGCTTTACTTTTAATCCAACCTTTAAATATAAAGTGAGCTTTAAAGTTAAAGGTTACTTCAGAAATCGGCCCTTAGAAGACCCTAGATATCGCACCGCAAGAAGAAGATAAATATGCATTACCTACGCTACTGCGGAAATGGACGACACGCCATTTCTTTAAATGAAATTAATTCCTGCTATATGCATATACGTACATATGTATGTATATACTCAACGTGAGCACAAACATTTTGCTTGCATAGTCTTCTGTTCTCTCTTCAGTGCAAAATGAATTATTTTTTTAGTATAAATAAATAAAATGAACTTTTTAATATACCACGCTTTTCTAAATGGACAAAAAATTAGAAAATAATATTTCTCAGTCCCATAGAACTTGTTTTGATAACTTTTGATTTTGAAGTTTTAGCAAAAGTCATTGTAAACCATTTATGAGATTGAAACGAGAAAAGCGTGGGGTTATCTGAACTCTGACCCCTACGCGACACGCCTTAAAATATGTTCAAACAGACACCTAATTGGCAGTTAAGAACGTTTTCACCAATTTAAGCCTTAATTGTTACCCAATTTATCATACAAAAATTCAAATTATTAATTGCGTTACTTTGACCACTCGTCTGTATCATTTGCGTGCTCCTTCACAAAGGAGGGAAGCTATTAGACCAGTTGCCCGCACCAGAAAATCTATTGAAATGTCAATAAAAATAAGAACTGATTTCCTGAGAAATTATTTGGCTACGTTCCAAATGTACCTAAAATTGTGTGTTCGTACCGCATGTACTTTCAAACGTAAATAAAGGTACGATTGTATCACCTTTTCCATCACTGTAGGTAATCCAGCAGCTGATTTTGTATCGCTAATTGCACAGCTGACGTGTGTGTGAACACCAAACTCAATGCCACAATTTAAAGCTTAATTGCTTCAGCTAATTGGGTTGTTTGAACATAGTCTTAACCGACTTCAATCAGGACCAAAATTTATATGTCATATCTTCGACAATGACTTTGGGTACTAGACAAAAAAAACTTAATTTTAAATTTCTGAGTCTCCATAGAGGAATCTGTATTTTGCCCTCTGTGCGACACGTCTTAACCGTCTCCAATCGGGACCAATATTTATATGTGATATATTCGACTATAGTAACATCGACGTAGGGGTTGAGGCTTGGGAAATCTGATGTACAAATTTGCTCCCTATATTTAAGGGGCATCCTAATGTACACATATTATACGTAAATGCAAATAATGTTAAGATATATCCCCAAACAGTACCACATAATTTATTACAAATATTTCTGGTAACCTTTTCGCTAAAATTTAATATACTATATTCTTTAATTAAATCGTTTTTCTTTTAAAACAAATATTTTCGCTTTGTCTATCGCATGATAACAATCTCTGCCATCTTTTTGCCACTATTCATTGCATTACAGCAAACAGCTGTCGCCAATTTCCCGCTAAGTAGTGCAGAACTATTTAATTTTATTTTCGCTCAACCGTCTAACGGTTCGTTGCTAGTCTGGCATCGTCAAGCGGGATCTCAAACTGCAACGCTACGTCTGCATGTGCAATCTTTTCTTTCTTCATCCATACTTTTTCTCCGTTCAGCCCCCTCTCCTACTTCAGCTGCTTCATTGCTTTATTTGCGCTTCACTGTGCTGTATTTCATTTAAAATGCACTTATTTCTTTGTTGATAATATTTCTGTGCGCATTTGAAATGACCTCTGTTCCATCAACATTGACGACAGCACCACCAACCTGCCAAGTAAATACTATTGCACGCCACTACATTCTTGTTCCGTTCCGGCGTCGTTCACTGCAATGATAGCTTTTTTCCACCGATGTTGTTTGCTATCTCACATAAGGTCACGAATTTCATTAGTTACACTTCCGTAGCGAAAGTTAAGCGTGTAAATTCACAACACACGTAGAGTGAAGCGCGTAGCTTACCGCAATGGTATTTAGGTACTTACATGCTCACATGTTTTCCGACTGAATCGCTTACCAGCCCATGCTTGGTTGCCCACAGGGAGTGGTACGAAGCGTACGCGATACGTGGTTTGGTGAGCAGTGAACAAGATTCAGCGACAGATATGCGCTTATTTTCTAACACTCATGCGCCAGGACAACCGTGGAAGTACAATATATTTTCGCGTAGATGTACTTATGTATAGCTGTGTTTGTGAATATACATATATACAGTTGTGCATTTACGTAGCCAGGAAACTTGAGCGCTAAGCTGTCACGGCCCACCGAGTGAAATTAAACGGTATTAAGGTTGTTGTGCTTGTTATTGCCAAAATCGATTATCGATCAAACAATAGAACGCGGAAGTGCAAAAACAAAAAACCTGCATGCATAACCACTATCATCGAATTTGAAATTGAAGAAGTTAAGTCAGCATGCTAATTGAAGAGCTCCAACACAATTACAAAATAAATTTTAAACTCGTACATATTTGCACTCAAACTAAGCTCAGACTCAAATTTCAAAAATAGACTCAGAATCAAATTCAAACTCAAACCTCAACTCAAAGTCAGCGTAAAACTCAAACTCGAACTGAGACTTAAACTCAAACTCCAAGTCATCGTAAAACTCAAACTCCAACTCAAGATCAAGCCAAGCTGATATACAAACTCGGACTCAAAATTAGACTCAAACTCAGACTCAATCCAAAACTCGAACTTTAACTGAACCTCAAACTAAAGATTATACATACAGAAACAGACTCAAACTCAATTTCACACTCATATCTACTACTAAACTGAAACTCAAACTCAAAGTCAAACTCAAGCTCGGATTAAAACTTAAACTCAAACTCAAATTCTAACTGATATTCAATCCCAAAGTCACCTTTTCGAATTTGAACCACATTCACGAAAAAAAAATCGATTTTATCGTCAGCTCGTATGCTAACATTTGTGCACAAATATGCAAAGTACTCCAGTGTCCCCCGGGCCCAAGCTCACTCGAATTCGCCGCCTACCCATAGCACACTACCCTTGCAGAAGCGCAAATTTTTGCATAATTGGCCGCACTAGAAACTAGAAACAAAAATAATGTTTGCTTGGCATGAAACTCACCTCGAATTCCAGCACTCAGTTAACGGCCCTGTTGCGAAGGCAAAGGCTTCATTGCCAATCGCTCAACGCGCATTCAAATCAGTACGAACTTGGCACGTGCCGTGAGCGGTGGTGACAACACTTTTTTTGGTGTTCCAAAAAAATTTCGTTGTTGCAACGTATCGACAGCAACAACGAACACACCAACTACTTAGAAGAAAAACAATTCGACGATAGTGTAAAGAGAACCAGGACGATATTAATGTCGTCGTCGAGCGGGCAGCAGTAACCACACAGCGAACTAAGTAAATCAGTGAGAAGTCATGCCAACGCATTGGGATTGGGACTGGGATTGGCCACATGATCACTTTTGGCATTGGCCCTCCACGCGTCTCTGGCCCATCGATAGTTTCAGCTATCATGCCAGGTGTCCGACATCGCGTCGCTGGAAATCGACCTTTGGCCATCACGACATCGATGTAGATGTGTGTGCGCGCGATTGGCACATACATCATTGGAGCGACGACGGACCTTGGTGTCATCGTTCGTGCTTGGCCAGTCGTGTGACCATCGAAAGGGGCGATGAGCCGGACAGCTTGGGCAAGGGCACCTTCAAGGTTGTTATCGATGTGCATCACTTCCGCGACGATGAGCTCGTGTTGAAGGTGCGCAACAATGACACCATTGTATTGACGGGCAAACAGAAGGACGATCGCGGTGAGAAGAGCACGTTCTGCATTACGCGCGAATTTACGCGAAAATACAAGCTTCCGAGAAATTATGATGCCACGCTGGCCAAAGCTACTCGTTCCACCGATGGTATATTGACAATTATAGTGCCCGCGCCACCGCCACTGGACGATGTAGAGCGGGTGGTGGATATTGAGCCAACGGGCGCATACTTCGGCACGACCAGCAATGATGCAGACAAAAATGCGAAAGCTATTGAGAATGGGGCGGACAATGAGGAGGAGGAGGAGGCAGGCGATGAGCCGAATGCAGGTGAAAGGGAGAATTCGAAGAAAGCGCGTTTCGACTCAACGGGAGATTCAAAATGAAATTCAATGCAGGCGGCTGTTTTCACAAGATGGCGAAGCAGCTTTAAGAATCATTTCAAGAAATGGTGGATTTGGAAGGAGGGTAAAGGAAAGCGGAAAATCAAATGCAAGTGATGGCAGGCAGCAGTAGTTTCGCGCTGGTAAAGGCCAGTTTAATAAAAGTAACAATATAAATTTGTCTGAAGTGATACGAATCACAATCACCAATGATTTAATAATAACTTCACGACTACTCTAAACCTAGCACGGTGTTCCTTATATCACTTACATATGTATGAAAACAAATAAAAAAAAAAAGTTTCTTGCGCACATACCTGTAGCTGGCACCAATAAATCTACCAATATTCATAAAACTTATACTTTTAACGGGAATACAATGATGCTATTAAAAATATAAATTTACGTCTATTTAAGTTTTAAACTCTAACTAAAATTTCCTCTATTACCAAAAAATAAAATAAAAAATAAAAAAATTAGTGCAAGTAATACCCTTCTCCTTATAAAATAAATACAGAAAATAAATGTTTTGTGTATGACAACCTCTCGCGAAACAAAAATACTTATTGAGTTTTTTTCATTGCTGGCGAAAATGTATGTGTATATGTATGTATATTAAGGGTAAGGGTGTTATGTAAAAAGTTGATGGAGCTTTCATTCTTTCTCTTATCGAACATTGTATGGTTGGATTATGCTCAGCTAGGTTGGGCGCACCCTGCAACGACGAGAATGGCGAAGAAACACACTTTAAATGCCATTGGCAAAACGGAGCGAAAAACCTCGGATTTCTTTGATGATCTGAATGATGTCACAGCAACAGATATTTAAAGCTTATCCATCTTTTGCTGAGTCGAAGTGAGTACCACATGGAACTGCACCCAGCCTACCCTAACCTACAATCATAAATCAGAGTTTAAAACTAAAAGTTAGTTTTGGATTTTGAACTACAGCGCTACAAAGCATACAGAACTAAATTTATGTGGTTTGCTTTTAATATTTTGAGCAAAATTTTTCGAAACCTTTCGGAATTTGTTTGAATTTCTTCATAATTTTCGCAGTTTTTTTTATGAGCTGACATGGTTTTTAAAGTTTTTCCGAATCTTCGTTTCATTGAAAGGGTTTCAGGGATAACTAACAATTTGTTCAAGACTTTTCGGATTTTCGAAATCTGTTAATTATTTTCCTAGTATATAGATTTGATCAATCGTATTTGCTTCTCAGACTGTGGCCAAAAATTGTAGGTAATCCGAATAGGTCTTAGTGAAGAGAGTTTTCTTAGATATGTACATATGCTTGTAGATTCAAAATTCAAATGTTAAGCTCTTAGTCCCAAGAATTTTCCTAACTGGAAAAACGAATATCCGTATTTTTTTGTTTAAAAAAAAAACACATTTCTTTCGATCGGAAAACTGTGTCTCTTCAGGAGACTTCAAATAATAGTACCCAATTGCTTATTGTACCATTTTTTTAATACTAAAGATTTTTTATGAGTCCCCCCCCCCTTTGAATTTTTTGGGGTTTTTGAGGGATTTATAAAAAATAGTTAATATTGAAAATGGGGTGTTGTTATCGAAAGACATCGGAAGATAAACAGATTTTTCCGATCGAAAAAAATTTAGTTTCGAGAATTCTATACTATTTCTACGAAACGGTTATTTTCCCTTATAAAATACATGGAAAACTTCATGAGCTGTAAGGCAGTTCTAAATATAATTTTTTGTAGAAAAAACTAGAAAAATTCTCGGGGGACATTTTAAACTTTTGTATTTAATGTATTTTTGGACCTAAGTTTCAGGGGCAACTTTTTCCCATAGTGAGACATTTCCTTAATTAATTAAGAAGTTTAAGAAATATAGTTCTTATAAAATTTCGCCATTGATCCATTTTCAAAATAATAATAATAATAATGAAATTTGACAATTCCAGAAAAAAATAAAATAAACTCTCTGCTTAACACGAAGCACCATCACACTTCAACTTAACTATGAAAATATAAACCCTCTACCTCTAAATTGGTGACAAAATTCTTCTTTTTTTACTAAAAAAGCCAGTCTACGATTAGGAGTACGTAAGAAGTACTGTCACATACATAGGTGGCGCTATGGAAAATTAAAACATTAACAGATATCAAGTTCCTGTTGAAAGTGAATATATATATAATGACACTCTAAAGATATTTATTATATCTACTCACAAATTCGTTTATAAGGTATTCACTTTACTACTGTTGGTAACGCATTGGCCACATTGTGCACAAGAACGTATGTATTTGTGTTGATATTTTACGACCACGCGCACAATAACGTCCGACGACAATTGCAAGCGCCATTTCTCATCCGCTACTACATATGCATGTATGTATGTATACGCCTACAAAGAGGTGATGAGGCCGGCCAATTTACTGCAGCTATTAGCAAAGGCCGCTGCAGCCGAGTGGTTAGCAGTGCGTACTACCACTCGGTGGGGCCTAGGTTCGATCCCTAGTCCGAGCAACATCTCAAAACAGAAAACACTTTCTTCTAGCAGCGGTCCCATCTCCGCAGGTAATGGCAAACTTCCGAGATGCCATGATAAAGCTTCTCCTAAAACCATTTAGCGAACGGTGTAAAATTAATTGCAGGTGCCTTAATCTTGCGCTATTACCTCAAAACCCACACCAATAGAGGATAATCTCGGCCACACTCTTAGCGTGAAATATGTTTTTGCGTTTTTTACCAGTGAAGGCCATGCAATGCTTGTCAACGTGTGTTCCGTGTTTGCTCCTGTGTTTAGCACAACTACTACTCTTTTCACCAGCAAAACAACTACAACTAGGCGCTCGGAATAGGAAAAATGGTCCAGTGCATATATGAAATGTGTTTATGGCGAGTATTTTTTACGATTACATGCGACAGCACAATTGTTGTCGACGAGGTCTTTATTCCTTGACGCATAAGTATATTAACCAGTTTATTGCCTGTCACAGCGAATGCTGCCACAAATATTATGGCATTGCTGTCAACCGACCAGGCTGCGGTCGCTCGCTGCTGTTGATTTTATTAGCGCTTACTTACTTATGTATATTCACACATTCATTTATACTCGTCATCAAATTGCAACTGTTGGCGCATATACACATGTATGTAGATGTAGATGTAGATGTAGATGAATTTATGTGTGCATTGTATACGTGGGAGTTTTCTTTGGTTGGGGGTGTAAGAACATAATTGGCTGCACTTTATCGTCAAGCTGCTGACAAATTTTTCTTTTCTAATAAATTAGGTGTGGCCTAGTAAAAAAATTATTTATGTTAGCGACATTTTGCGGCCGAATGAGGCTTTAAAAAATTTATTTAATATACATACTCGTATGTATGTACGTTTTGCTGCCTGCCCATTTATGGCGTGTGAATGGGCTGTAAAAAAGCCGGCATTATTATGCTTTTACATGAAATAAAAATGCCCTAAAACCCGAGCTGTGCTGAAAAAAATTATAAAAGCGTAACGTACGTAAATTTAAGGCGGAATTTGAAATATTTATTTTAGGCCTGTTATAGTCTAACGAAATGGCGAGCAGTCTAAGGTTTCCAAGCTATGCGACCTTTGTGGATATTTGTGGAACAGTTCTGTGAAAACTGCAACAAAGCTTGTGTTTGGTAGCACAGATTATGCTGGAAGGAATTTTTCGTCTAAAGTTTGTGTGAATATTTGGGATTTTGATTTGGGCTTTCAGTCCCTACCAATTTTCAAAAGAAAAAGCAGTATATTGTATGAAGAAAACACGAAATTGTGTATGTAAATAAAAAATTTATTTATTTCAGAAAAAAATTATAATACACTGATTTTTTCTTTGAAAAATTTGGGGGGTCAAACGTCATTTTTGGTATATATTTTTGTTCACCATTTTTGTTTAGAATCGAACGTGGAATTCGAATATGCCATTAATTTTTTTCGAAATTGAACTTTAGACCCAATCAATAAGCTAACTAACTAAGTGCTTATTAAAACTCTTACATTTTTACATTTACTTAAATTTTTCTTTAGTTTCATACAAATTTTAAGAGAAAAATACGATTTTTCCATAGACTTTTTCAGTATGCGCCCAATTTTCCTACTACCATATTTGTAACACTAATGACTTAAGTTATAGCTGCAAAAAGGTGCATAATTCAAAGTTAATACCGCGCGCGAAGCTGAACAAATATTTAACTAAAAAAACTTATTTAATGAAAAATTTTTAATTTTGAAAAGTTGCTTTCAATTTAGGGGGAAAAAATGCATACTAACTTCAAGCACCATACAAAAGCCTCACCATTGTTTGATTTAAATTTAGCAAAATTTTACTGGCCAGCTGTTATTTGCTTTAAAACCTATTTGAAACTTTTTACAAAGCAAATACGCAGAGCTTGTGGAGTGTTTTTGCTTCATATGTAGTGGCATGCAGCAGCTTTCATACTTATGCACGTGAGTAGCTTTGGTGCTCAAGTTGCTGCCGAGTGGCCATTTAAGTGGCCCTAAATTATACGAAAACTTTCATTACAAGTTTTTGGGTTGATTTAAGTGCTGCATTTATGAGAAAATTATGCAAATTTTTTACACATATGAAAATATTGTACTATGTTGGTATATTAATTTGCCTCCTGAAAATTGCTAAATATTTCTAGAGTTATGTATGTGTTATGTGTATGAGCTGCAGTAAATGTTTTCAGTAAATATACTAAATGAGAAATTTAGAAAAGCTATGAAACTTATATTAGAGTTTAAACTGTTTTGTTAAAAAATTTTTTTTTTATATATATTTAGAACAATGTTAATTTATGCAACAATTTTGTTCTCATACGTGTTTTCTCGTGCTCATATACCCGTAGTCTGTATGTAACGTATACGCCCTGTAGCACCATAAACAGCCAAATAACACTTATTCGCACGTCTTAGCTTATTATTTAAAAAGTAATTAAATATTGCGTATTAAATATTGTGGAGTATTTTTCTACAGCTTTTCTAACGAATGTTTATAACAATTTGCGAATGAATTTCGAGTGTGCCAATAGAAATTGAAAAGATTTTTATTTCGCAAATCGTCGTCATGTTATAATCAATGTAATTATTTTTCATTTGGTGGATCACTAGTTTTATTGCTCTAGATTGGTTCGTTTTGGCAAAAAGAAAATTTTCACCGTTTAATGTTAATATTTTGAAGTATCTTAAATTTGTAAAATAAATAAATGGCTAGATTTCAAAAATTACAATTTAGCTGCGACAGATATCCTGTATGCTGCCATTTGTATTTTTTTTTTAATCTGGTGGCACGCTTTTAAAACTTTACAGATATATTGTATTTGATGCCAACTTTCATTGGCTTTAATATTAACATTCTATCTGAAAG